GAAGTTGAGACCACCACCAAGAACTGTGGTTATTTTATTTATAAAAACATAATACAACTTTTTACACTATTAATTAGTTTCAAGCAAGATTTCTCAATGATATGTAAGCCAACAAAAGTTTCATATAGTACCTTTCATATCGTTTGAAGAGGCGAGTGGAAGGGATTCGTAACTTGGTCGCATCGGAAGCTGTAGGGCGATTTGTTTGGAGCTGAGATTGTAGATTTATGTGAATAGGTCATCGGCGTACTGCCCTGCGACCCCACTCAATCCTTGCTGAGTTTTCGTCCGTCTTGTGACGGACATCGTCAGAGCGGGACACCATGCTTAACGATAACTCGCCAAAAACACGAAGGCAAGATAATTGGCCGACTTCAAAACTACCTACTTCTTATAGTCCTATTTGGTCAACTTAGGCATCTCATACTTTGGTTGGATATCCTATGCTTTGCCTAAATGTTTGCTCAAAAGTTAAGCTAATTGGATGAGGATGAAATGTGAAGTGTTGGCAGAAAAGGCATTAAACGGATGCAATTGTGACCAAACAGTTTCATCCTTCCCTAACCACCTATGCCTTTGATTCTGCATTGTTACGGTATGTAATTGCGTTCCATCGCACGCGTGTTACATGAATGTATTTCTCTTAAAATAAGTGTGATCTGAGAGTCAAAACCAGATTCAGGCCGAATCAAGCATCCTCTGTTTGTTTAGTGTTATTTCTCGTTTCCTCCATCTCTAACATTATCTAACAGCCACAATTAGTTTCCATTAAATTCCTATCTATCCATCGTAAACCAGAGGAAAAGGGATCGCAAGGAAGAAAAGAGTGAGTAACTTTCGGTAATAGAGCGAAGACGTTCTCAGTGAGTGTAGTCATCTTGAATAAGCAATTACAACTATGGGAGCCTGACGCTTCACCTGATTAAGGGGGGGAATTGGGTCACATAAATTAGGCATCAGGACCAATCGACCACTTGAGATGCAGCAGGCGACCAAAAATAGATGTCCACAGTTTGATCAGGATATACGGGTTTAATCGAGGTAATGATGCATGAAGGCAATGCCTAATATCCGCAAGCATGGGAATCAGAGCCTAGGCGCTCTGCAAATGGGGCTACATTGTACGTGTTACTGAACGCTTGAGAAATAGCACTTGGAATAAAAGTACACTGGGGCTGGAACCGAGTGAAATAGATCAACCAGAAAGATAAAAAATGAACCAATGGGCCTATCAGGCAGATCCGGACAGGAGGCTTGAGTCGGATCAGCCACTCGAAAGGGAGAGGAGCAAGGCAAATATCAGGTGTGATGACAAAAGACTTATCTCTTTTGACGAGCTGTACTATGGTACAACGAATGGCGAGACTCACTGACGATGCCGACTACGATTCTTGCGAAAAGTCTGGGAAAGTACCACGTTCACGGTCCGACTCTGGAAATGATCATGCATACAATGGACTCCGGACTAGGTGCGTTCCTCTAAGTCTTCCTAACAATATGATTAAGTTGCGAAAAAAAGGTCAAATAACTTCTATACAACGAAAGGAGACTGCCACCACACAAAAGGCCACACTATCTTGGTCTTCATACCTTATTTTAATAATGTTTTTTCTTATTTACTATAACTCATCATTAGGCCAAAATCAGAATCCAAAGGTTTGAAGATATTGGCATGTTTAGATTCATTTTCATAACTCAATGGCTTTATCCACCTTTATCTACTTTTTAAATTGTTAGCAAAATGGCCTTTAAACGAACTAGTGCTTACTATAAAACACTACAATTAAGTGTTCGACCCTCGTAACCTACTAATGATGCCTTGTAGAACGAGGAAATCATTGTATGAGCACTTTGAAATTTGGTTTATATTTTGCAACCTAATAAGTCCCCATGTATGCGTGATTTAAGCCTGAATGCCACGCTATTTCCTCAACAACAAAAAATTGCATTTCAGACTTTGTAGCCTTGATTTTTTCAGTTCTTTAATACTAGCGATGAAACAATTGTCTTAATATTAATCTTGTAGACATGGTTGTCTTCATTACGAATACTCTAATAATTTTCTATAATATAAGTTAATTCCACTCTTATCTCTAGCCTACATCTGCATCCTTGCCCCATCTGACTTCCCACGACTCCATTTATCCTGCTACTACTATCTCGAATATTACGAACACCGAAGACAACGCGTGTGGGGCTGGAATTTCTGCTAGCACGTCTACTCTATCAGCAAAAGGGCGTAGGAACCGGAAGAAGCGTCGCCAACAGCGCCGTAAAAACATCTGTCCTACGGACAAACACGAGTTATTAGTGACTTCGAAAAATTGTGTGTTCTACAATGATCAATCTTCCAACGACCATCATCATGTCTCGGAGTCTGCTAAAGTCGATTCTGAATCCTTGGTTGATGCAGATTCAAAAAATACTAGTCTGAATCTTAGTACTTCGGCTTCTATTGCAGACAATATACACAAAGAAGACGATACTGATATTAACGGACACCATAGTGATAGCGAGGATGATGAGACTGTTCAGGCTTCTCGAACATTATCTCGCGAAATTATGATAACGCGTAATGGTCAGCCAACGAATTTCAAGCTCACTCAAGTTCAGGTGCCGTGGCATCAGCTGTTTGTGCCGAAAGAATTGTAAGACATTGGCCATGATTTTAAAGTAGTATGTATATACATTGTTTCATAGAAATTCAGTTAGATTTATCCTACAGATAGTAAGAAAAGTTGAGTACTACTAAAAAATAACTCAGGTAGCAAGCACTTATGTCGCTTGGCAAAAATACGGAATTTAAAAAGTTGTATAAAATCGAAAAAAGGCATGCCTGTAGGCTGCATAAATGGATGATAGTTGAATTTTGCCTTTTCGATAGAAATGTAAATGCTAATTGTGTAATTTGCCTTTAAATTTACATCTTTCCTGTGGCTCATTGGCACCCGTGGTCAAAGATGTTCGCAAACATGCTGACATTTATTTTTCATATAAGTAGAGTTTCGTGACTACC